TTAGGGGTGTGTATCGGTCGGTTTGGTTCGGTTATAAGTATTATTGGTTCAGTTTTCGATTTTTAAATATGCTAAACCAATAACCAAACCAATAAGATATTTGTTATCGGTTTTCGATTTATCGGTTTTAGGTCTTTAACGGTTCGATTTTCGGTTTAACCAATAAGAAAATGCTTTCAAAACAAATATATGACTTATCCAATAATTTGACGCGATACGCATACATCGAAATAATCATTCCAAACGGGACAACAAGGACCAACTTGTTGTATTTTGGTCATCACAACAAAGACTTGGTTAATTTTCGATCACCATAATATAAAACGAGGTCCCCTTTATGCAATAAAGAGAATCAAATAAAACCAAATCATAGGCAAAAGTCAAACCAATAGCAAATGAGGCCATGCTTATGGTAACTAAATGAAGTTCTTACGTTATTTTAAAAAAAACACACACACACAATTTGAATTCCTGACGTTAATCAAATTGCAGATATTTACAATTGTGCAAAAGCTAATATTAGTCAATTATAAACTAACTAAAGTAAATAAGTAATACTAAAAAGTAAAACCTAAAGGTTAAATAACTAAAAGTAGAGAGGAGAGTTAATTGTTAAGTAGTGTTAATTATTGTGTAGGGTTTTATATTTTTAGTCTAATATACTACTAATTATATTAATATTTTTTTTAATATATTATATATATGTATAACTAAAAATTAAAATAGTAAATTATTATATTCTTAATGGGTTATCGGTTAACCCAATAACTCAATATTAAAAACCAATAACAAACCGATAACCCAATAATTTTTTTTGTAAAACTATTAAATAACCGTTATCCCAATAACCCAATAACAATAAACCAATAACACTTTTTTCGGTTCGGTTTATCGGTCGGTTCGGTTTTTGCACACCCCTAGTTATAGTACATGGACTTTTTGGTGATCTGGAATTTCGACCTCATTTTTGCCAATAAAATTTGTCAACGTCCGTTAAGACCTTAGCTATAGAGGCAATTGGCCCTCATGGCCAAAACATCCCATTTTCGAGGTCAAACGACCCCCAGAGCAGGTAAATCCCCCATTGTACCTATTTTCATGTGCTATAGTTCACTATCTTTTTTGGTGATCTGGATTTCCGACCTCATGTTTTCCAAACTTTTTCGTGGACGTCCGTTAAGACCTTAGCTATGGAGCCAATTGGCCGTCACAGCGAAAACGTTCCATTTTCAAGGTCAAATAAGCCCCAGAGCAGGTAAACCCCGCATTTTGCCAATTTTTTGTGCTATAGTCCATGGATTTTTTGGTGATCTGGAATTCCGTACTCATTTTTGCCAAAATTTTTTGTTGACGTCCGTTAAAACATTAGCTATGGAGCCAGTTGGCCCTCACGGCCAAAACTTCCAGTTTTGAAGGTCAAACGAGCCTAGAGCAAGTAAACCCCCCCATTTTACCAATTTTTGTGTGCTATAGTCCATGGACTTTTTGGTGATCTGGAATTTCGAGCTCATTTTTGCCAAAAAATTTCATGGACGTCCATTAAGACCTTAGCAATGGATTCAGTTAGCCCTCACGGACAAAACATCCCATTCTCAAGGTCAAACGAGCCCCGAAGCTGGTAAACCCCATATTTTGCCAATTTTCGTGTGCTATAGTCCACGAGATTTTACGGTCACCCAAAATTCCAACGTCATTTCTGCCAAAAACTTACATGAACCTCCGTTAAGACCTTAGCTATGGAACCAGTTGGTCACCAAGGCCAAAACGGCCAATTTACAAGGTCAAACGAGCCCCAAAGAAGGTAAACCCCCCATTTTGCCGATTTTCGTGTGCTATAGTCAATGGACTTTTTGGTGATCTGGAATTTCGAACTCATTTTTGTCAAAAATTTTTGTGGACGTCCGTTAAGACCGTAGCTATGGATTCAGTTAGCCCTCACGGCCAAAACATCCTATTTTCAAGGTCAAACATGCCCCGGAGCAGCTAAACCCTCCATTTTGCCAATTTTCGTGTGCTATAGTCTATGGACTTTTTGGTGATCTAGAATTTCGAGCACATTTTTGCCAAAATTTTTCGTGGACGTCCGTTAAGACCTTAGCTATGGATCCAGTTGGCCGTCACAGCCAAAATGTCCCATTTTCAAGGTCAAACGATCCCCGGAGCTGGTAAACCCCCCATTTTGCCGATTTTCGTGTGCTATAGTCCATGGACTTTTTGGTGATCTGGAATTCCGAGCTCATTTTTGCCAAAATTTTTCGTGGACGTCCGTGAAGACCTTGGCTATGTAGTGTTTGACGCTCCTATTCCGCATCCCCGTGGCTAGTAATCACATTAGTAGATTTGAAGATTGGTGAGTCCTCATGTTCCGAGGACCGAACCCTTTATTGTTTATTTTCTTTACTTTTCCATATTGTATGTGATGTATGGATTGCGTCATAATCACTCTTAATGTACTAGATGGCTTTGAGACTATGTTAGATTTTCCGTTTCGTTTTCTTATCAAACAATTTATGATATAAACTGTCTTTTGAACTCATTATTCTATTATCTTGTATGATGTATGATAAGTGGCTTGTGTAGGGCCTCTCGAGGTCTTATACGTCATGTCACGTCTAGGGTGTACTTTGGGTCGTGACATTTTTTGCACATGACCTGTTGCAACCATTTCTACACAACAATCCATTGCAAATTTTATTTTATTTTTACAAATTTCCTCTTTTAGAAAAAAAATTCTTATCATTGTACAATTAATTTTGGAGATGTAGAACTACTCCTGTCATCTTTTTTCCAGAAAAAAATGGAGATCTTCGCAGTTCTTTGCCGGAAAAAAATGGAGATTATTATCTACGTCTTCTTGCTGAAAAAAAGGAGAGACCACCATCCACATCTTTGCCGGAAAAAATGAAGATCATTATTCAAATATTTTATTTCTCCCTCTTCACCTAGCCACACACACCACCCCCAACCCATACCCCTTCTTCCCCATAAATCGAAGCAGAAATAGAAAGAAAAAAAAAAGCAAAATCAAAATCAAAATAAACAAAGAATGAACAGATCTTTTAAGAAAACGTTATCAATTTAAATGAAAATAAGGCTAAAGAGAAATAAAAATGGTAAAATTCATACATAATATGGAAAACTGACAACGGTGAACAATGGGAAATGTCAGGCAAAGAGAAGAAAGGGAGAGGTTTGGAGTGGGGTGGGCTGCGGAGGGGGTGGGGTGAGGGATGTATAATTTCTACTTTTTTTAGTTGAAAATCTTTTCTTTTTATATTTTGATTTGTTTATATTTAAAATTCATTTTTACAATTATTTTAAATTAAAATGCCACGTGTTTTCATTTGATTGTTATTTTGCCACATCATATGCATGTGTATTACATGCACTTCCTCTTTGACGAAGTGTCAGAAAATATTCAATAGGTATTTATTTTTTAATTGGAGTGCCTAATGGGAAATAGGTTATGTTAAAGTGTCTTAAGAGAATTATGCTTACAACTTTACGGGGCCACTAATGACTTTAGTCATTAGGTAATTTTCTCAATTTTTCGTATGTGTTAGTTAATGAATTGTCTCCAGATGATTTTTTACAAAACCTTTACAAGTCCATATGTAATAAGCTGGGGATTAGTATGTATAACCTCACCATGATTCATGTCACTTTTTTAGCATATAGGGTCGCTCAACAGGAATTAGCTATTTTATCTGTTTTTCATGTTTTAGTCAATGAATTTTTTAGTAATATGACTTTCGAGCACTTTTTGTAATACTTTTACAAGACCCTCTGTAATGACCTGGGGAGCAGGACGTACAACCTTACCATGGTCCATGTCATTTTGTTAGCATTTAAGAACCACTCAATTTTCACAATTTCTCATGTGTTGAGATAATTTATTTTTCCGTGATATGGTTTTTGAGAAAAAAAATTGCAAAACCTTTACAAGACCTTCTGTAATGACTTGGGGAAGTACGTATAGGCTTACCATGATTCACACCATTTTTTAGCATTTCAGGGCCATTCAATAGAAATTATGTCATTTTCTCAGCTTTTCGTGTGTTAGTCAATCAATTTTTTAGTGAAATGATTTTTAGACACTTTTTTTTTTTTGCAAAACCTTTACAGAATCCTCATAATGACCTAAGGGAGCGGTACATATAGTCTTACCATGATCCACACCATTCTTTTAGCATTTAAGGGCCACTCAACAAGAATTAAGTGATTTTCTCAATTTTCGATGTGTTAGTCAATGAATTTTTTTTATTATATGATTTTCTGATACTTTTGCAAAACCTTTACAAAACCCTTTGTAATGACTTGGGAGAGCAATATGTATAACCTTGTCATGATCTACACCATTTTTTTAACATTTCGCGGCCACTCACTAGGAATTAGATGATTTTTTTGGTGATATAGTGTGATACCACAGCTTAGGATATGATCGGCAAAAAACATGAGAGATGTTAGGGGTTTAAGTAAGTAAGTCTTACCCACTAACGATGCATTTTAAAGTTGTGCAATGGACAATATCACTAGCGAACAGGGTTATACAAATTTCATGAGTCCATTTGTGACAATCGCATAAAAGGAGACATCGGTTTTTCAAGGTTTATGTATTACGAAACAGAAATTTAGATATATCTCAATATTTTCATCTGTATTAAGTCATCGTTTTCATTTCATTTATGGATCTTGAATTTTTTTTAAAAGCTGGATCAGAACTTTGAAATGGGTAAAATAAAAAATCATGTCACCATTGTTAAGTCATTTTGCTGTTAATAAATGCCATTTTGATTCAATAGGTAGTAGGACATTTTTGAACCATTTTATAATACATTAAGGACATTTTTAATCCTTTACAGTATTTTATTTGATACAAGCTTGTATTTATAAGGTACAAACTGGGTATAAACAGGTCTAGTATAAAGATTACATTCAAATCGTTAAGAGGAGACATACTTCAAGGGGAAAAAAAGATCATATAATCATGCATGGCGGAGTGTATAGCTGCAATAACAGACTGCTTATATATGTGAACGTGATTGCAAACCTTCCGTAAGAAGCAGATTATATTGCCTTCGCGACAAGAAACAACGAGACTGATTTTCCAACTAGCTGTATTCAAATATAGCACCTGTATGATTAAACCCACAGGATACTTGCAGTGCTTTTACGTGTCTAGGAAAGTTGATTTTTGTAGGCTTAATGTAATCAACATCATTTCCTTGACCCTGCACAAACCCACCTTGTATTAGGCAAGTTGAAGCAACCGACATTCCAGTGTAAACCAACAGAAAAGATCACTTAAAGCTCTAAACTAGATATTGCTACTGTCAAATAGGAAAAACAAAATAGTGGAAATGAGGGGGCCGGGAAAATGGACAAAGATATAAACTGAGTAAAAGTATACACTCTCGTGAAAATGTTCTGACTTATCAAACAAGACTCTGCTGGTCAATAAGAAGAAAGAGAGTGATTAAAAACGTTGCCACGAAGCAACAAGATAAGAAAGCCAGATACAAATGAAGAAAGAAGAAAAAATTTAGCAAGGTCTTTGAACCATTTTCGAAGATGTGGTGGCATTTGAGCAACTGATTTAAAACTAAAGTAACTTTTTAGTTTTTACCGTGTAGCACTCACAGTTCTTCATATCTTGACTAGTTTAAACTTACTATTAACAAGAGAAGTCTATTGAACCTTTAAGTTCTAATATTTATTTAATAAACATCATTTGAAAGTCCATAAAAACATAACAGTTGCATTTGAAGTCTAAGGGAACAAACCAGTTGTCCGCCAGAAGAATGTCCGTCTACAGAAAATGTCCCATGGGAGCCTCCCCATCCCCAAGTGTAAACATTTCCTCCTTAAGGACAAACGTTGAGGTTATTGATAAGCATAAGTAAGCCAAATAACTCAATCATCGTATGTGAAAATGTTAGAGCAAACCAAATAACTCAATCATCTTATGTGAAAATGTTAGAGTTAAGGGTCAAAAACACATCTAAACTACCACAATGTTTTGAGTTTCATACATGAACTATTGAGAGTGAGTTTCACATCTAAACTATCACAATGTTTTGAGAGTGAGTTTCCTACCTAAACTCATGCAATGGTTGGCGAATTCACTAATTTATGATGCTGTGTATACTACACTCTTTTATTTTAAAAAATCTGCCACGTGGAAAAAACAATTCCATTGTGGAAAAGTTAAATAAATTAATATTAATTTAAAAGTTAAGGTTAAAGGTTAAAATTATCACCGTATAAATTAATTTATTCTCCACTACAACATCCGACATCTTCTTCTCCACCTTCTTAGCCATGGTCTTGTCTCAGCCGTGGCGTCGATATCTCCAACTTGGAAGGGGAGACTTTATGGTTTTAAAGAAATCAATTAGAAAACATATATAAAAAAAATTAGTGTGTCAACTAGTAGAGTCGTTATATATGTAAGGTTAACGAAGATTATATGGCCAAACGCACCTAAAAGCGATTGTAGACAAACATTTGGTCTAATCAGCATCTAAGTGTGTTTCGCTAACCATTGGATGATAGTACAGATAGAAAACTCACATTCTCAATAGTTCAGATATAAAACTCAAAAAATGGTTTAAGTATGTGTTTAACCCTTCTCAAAATGTTATCATTCAAATGCCAAAACAAATAGAACCAAGCCGTTGTTGACAACAAATGAATTACTAAATACTGAAAACTGGAAACAGTAAAATGGCACTTCTACAACTATGCAGAAGCGTAAGAATTTTCCAGCCCACAAACATGCCATAATCAGGGTAGAGGAATACAGAACACAGAAACAACAGAAAACCGAGGAAGTCAGCAAGAAATTCTCCTATGCTATTTCAATGGTGGAACCCAAAGATATGTACATCGTCGGCAACAGAAAGTGCTAGAACAACATGGATCAGGATCGGGGGTTTGCCCCTTCAGTTCTGGTCGCAAAGTACTTTCAAAGCCATCAGAGATATTTGTGGAGGTTGGACCAAAACAGAGGAAGAAACGCAGTTACAGAACCATCTTAAATGGGCGAGAATCAAGGTTGAAGGAAATGGCTCTAATGTACCTAGAGAGGTCACGATCGATGATGGCAGTCTTCGGTACACTCTGCAGATCTGGACCGAAAGTCCGGCAAGGGTGGCCACCGGAGAAGATCAGATCCAAAAAGCTCCTCTGAAAGTGGATATTACACAGCGGTCCATAAGCTTTATGCCAAAGCTTTGTGAGAGGGACTGCACTCTGTCCAAGGATAAGTCAGTCGTAGCTGACCAGCCACATGATATACAAGTGTGGGAGGACCTAAAAGTCCAATCCTAACTGTAGGCCAAGAAATTTTGGATCATGGCCTAAAAATAAACTTGGGCCTCAATTTTAAAGGTGGTATGGATATGACCTCTCAGCTTAAGGGGAAAGCATGGAGGGGCACGAGAACTTAAGTGAAGAGACAAAGGAGAGCTTGACCAGCCTTAAAACATTAGCCACACAATTTCTTGAAGCTTTCAGCGCTTGGGAATCGTCGTCAATGGAGAACAGAATTGAGCCAACATCAAATTCTGAGCAGAGAGAGGACTTCGACAAGCAACAGACTTGAACAGTCCAAAATAGAGTTGATAGCAACCTAGGAAACCAATTACAAGAGGTAGGGGAAAGCTCAAAGCTGCCGGAAAATGTTGATGTTGAACAGAGCTTGCAAATACAACAAATTCACGATGTTGAACCAGTATCTACGAATATGTCTGGGATCCAACAAGACGCAGGGGGTGAGGCATCGCAATGGATTAATGCTCATATCATGGAAATCAGTGCCACTTACGGGGTGACTTTCGAAGGTTTTAAGGATGAAACACAAGCCCTATAGATGAAAGAAAGCAGCACTAGAGAACAAGAGATCAAACAACTCAATTGTCACTCCCAAAAACAGGGAATCGGAAAATATGAGCTAAAAAATTTGCAATCCTGTCTTAATCAGCAAGTGGAGGGATCTAGGACAAAAGGGAGAGAGTCTTAAATTTGGCTTTCAAATGAAGGTAAAATTACTCTCATGGAATATAAGGGGGATTAACAATATTTCCACAAGAAATCTTGTTAGGAGTGTGTTATGCTCAAGTGGAAGGTAGATGTTTACTGCCTTCAAGAAACAAAGGAGAATAAGGAAATGGATAGTCTTGCCAAACATGAGACTATGGCCCAGCAGGTGGATGTGATGTGGGTATATGGAAGTCGATGGAAGTAAGGGGGGGTATCCTAATTTTGTGGGATTGCAGATAAATGGAAAGGTAGCCTAGTGAAGGTGGGACAATTTTCAATTACCTATAAATTTGAAGCAATGCAGGATTCTTTTAGCTGGTTTCTTACCGGTGTTTATGCACCTCACATCAGAAGTGAGAAGCTAGAGTGCTGGGAAGAGGTGGAAGCAGTAAAAGAACTTTGTGAAGGACCTTGGGTGACATGGACTTCAACACTGTCAGAACCATGGCAGAAAGGAAAGGTTGTAGCAGAATCACTAATGTGATGGCTGATTTCTCCAAGTGGATTGATGAGATGAAATTGCATGATCCTTATTTGTGTAGGGAGAATTTCACCTGGTTCCGAGGGCCAAACCACCATAGTGCTACTAGATTAGACAGATTCCTCTACTCTATAGAATGGGAGGAGTTCTTCAAGAACGCTAAACAAATGGTTATGCCTAGAGTGACTTCGGGCCACTGTCTTATTTTGCTGCAATGTGGTGACTGGTTAAAACAGAGATCCTACTTCAAGTTTGAAAATTGGTGGCTCGAGATAGACGGTTTTCGGGAACTAGTGCATACATGGTGGAATGAATTTGAAGTGATAGGATGCCTTGACTATGTTTTTAGTTTGAAGTTAAGGATGCTGAAGAAAAAAATCATAGACCGGAGCAAATTAGCATGTGGGAACTGGACACTAAGAAGAGAAACCTTTTAGCTAAGTTGGCTGATATTGATTTGGTTCAGGACACAAGGGCTCTAAATGAAGACGAAATGATGGTTAGAGAAACTGTCTTGGTTGAGCTCGAAAAATTGGCAAAAAATGAGGAAGCTAGATGAAGACAAAACTCTAGAGTTCTATGCCTAAAACAGGGTTATAACAACACAATTTATTTCCAAAGGATGGCAACGGCACACAAGAGATATAATGCTATTGACAAACTGGTAATCAGGGTGGAGGAAATCAAAGACCCAGAGCTAATCAAAGGGAGCATGATTGAGTTCTACAAGAACCTATACTCTGAATCAGAAGACTGGAGGCCTTCTTTTGAGATTGCTAAACTGTCCTAGAATCTCCCAGGAAGATCAAGAGTGGCTGCAAAGGCGATTGTAATTGTAGGAATAATACAATGTAATTCTAGGAATTATAGGAATAATATTTTTTTTTTATTGTAATTGAAAAAGTAGTTGGAGAAAAAAAATCAGAGGAGACTGTTGGGCATTTGAATAAACATGATTAGATAACTTAACAAGGAAAAATACAGCAGAATAGGCTATTATGTTGTCTGCCGAAGCTGAATCCTCCTCTACCGTTGAGTTAACTACTTTTCCTAATGAGTTAAGATATTTATATTACTCATAGAAAAGAAGTCAGATCTTGTATAAAACATCTTTTTATCTAAATGTGTCTCCTATCCTTCCTTGTCTCCTTCATATAGAGCCTTTGCCTTGTCTATTGGCCAGACTTAGAGGAAAGCTTTTGCAGATCCTAAATGGTAGCAGGCAATGACTGAAGAAATGGGACTTGGAAACTTGTCACTTCACCAAGAGACAAAAAAGTTAATTGGTTGCAAAAGAGTTTTCATAGTGAAATATAAAGTTGATGGGTAGGTTGAAATATTCAAAGCACTATTGGTGTTTAAGGATTCACACAAACTTATGGAGTTGATTATCATGAGACGTTTTCCCCTGTTGCAAAGATGAACAAGATCAAAACTCTTTTGTCATGTGCAGCTAATTTTGGTTGGGACTTCCGACAGTTGGATGTGAAGAATGCATTTTTTTGTGGAGACTTGGAAGAAGAGGTGTATTATATGGAGTGAATTTGATAAGCCTATTTTAGCTTCTAGGATCTATTTCTTAGTTCAAGATCCCTCTTACTAACTGGAATCAAAGATTTAGTAGATCTGTTCCTTGAACAAAGTTGGGGGAAAATGTGCAATTGAAGAACCTTGTACTGAAGCAATCCCCTAGTGCTTGGTTTGACAGACTCTCTGAAGCCATGATCTTTTTAGGTTACCAACAAAGAAATGCTGATCACACCCTCTTCATAAGACATCAAATGAGGTAAATTCACTCTTCTCATCGTTTACGTTGACGACATAGTAATGATAGGAGATGATCCGATTAAGAAGTTGTTAGAACAAAAATTTGAGATCAAAGATCTAGGGTAATTGCAGAATTTCTTGGGCTCGTTCCTTTTGTACCGGGATTTGTTTCACTTGAGCCGAGGGTCCTTCAGAAACAGCCTCTCTACCTTCACGAGGTAGTGGTAAGGTCTGCATACATTTATCCCTCCCCAGACCTCACTTGTGGGATTTCATTGGGTATGTTGTTGTTGTTGTTGTTGAGGTGCTAGACTAAAAGAGGAATCTTTATATCTGTTTGTAACACAATTCAGAAAATTCATATTATAAGCAGCAGAAAAGAATTGTTGGTTGAGTGGAAGAGCAGGGAGAATGCAACATTAACATCAATAGGTTTCAAGACGGGGAACAAGCACAAAGACGTTTGTTAGCATCTATATAAAATAACACATGCAATTTAAATATACTATGATTTTTGTACCAGAAATTGCTGCTGTATGCTTCCAACCACAGGATACCTGTCAAGACAACAAAGTAAGATTTATGACTTTCATAATCTTTTCAAACCAATCAACCCCTCTGATAGAGTATCAGGTAGAGTACACCTTTGTTTGCAAGCAATACTATTAATATTAGTAGTTATATCCTCTTGAAACATGCAGAACACCAATATATCCTGAAAGTTTTTCTGGCACAAGATACATGACACCCATTCACAACAGAATTCTGTCCAGGCATTTCTTCACATCAAAACTCATATGCATAACCTTGGTGTCCACTGTCCACTAGTTAATAGCACATACATACTACTATGCATTTTCTCAATAAATGGTCTTCTCAATTACACATGTATCCTTTTCTTTACCTACTTTATGTACCTCTATTACACACTTGAATCTTGATTGGAATAGGTAGCCAAAGCAATGCGTTGACTAAAAAATTGGAAAGAGATTCAACATGGAGAAACAAACCTCAGAAACTGAATGCCTCAAAAATGGTCCTTCAACTCTTTCAGGTAAATGAGCGACATCTGTAGATCTGACATAAGCAAACACCAAAAGTACATCACAAATTTTTTTTAATGAAAAAAAGAGTCCTTAAGGATGACTTGACCATCCAAAAAATTCAACTATGAAGCAATGCAAAAAGAGTACCCAATACCAAGACACCCATTTTCATTGGTACCCCACACGTACAGTTCTCCACCACCTATGAACAAAAACTAAGTAAATACAAAAGCTAAAGCTTACAAAGAAATTAGCCCTTAGTTCCAAACAATGCACTTGATCTCATGAAATAACATATATTCAAATCGCCTCATTTGAGGACACACATTAAGAAAATGTTAATAAACTTCATATTGGGCCTAACTCAACCACAAAAGCTAAGCACATGAAGTGAGGATTACCGAATACCATGTAAGGAAACAACCTATTCGCTCCATCAATGTGAGATATTTAACACCCCCTGCATGCCCATGCACATGACTGGACATATGGTACTTGGACCATAACATGAAGGCCCAACGTCAGGTAACCAAGAATAAGGATGGATCTTGCTTTGATACTATGTTAAGAAAATGAATCTTGGGCCTAAATCCCAAACGCTAGCTCATAAGATGAGAATTATCAGTACCATATAAGGGAACAACGACTCCTTCCCTCAACCAACGCAGGATACTTAAGCAAAACAAATGCGAACAACTTATCCTTTAAAACATGAAAGATCTTATAATTCAGTATAACTATAAAAAAAAAAAAAAAAAAAACTACATTTGGGTCCCTTTCAGAGCATCATAATTTGACTACAGCTTTGTGCCCTTTCTTCCGTTGTATTTCGTAAGAAGAAGGTAGAGCATTCAACACTCTCCTGACAATATACTCAAAATAACATCCTTGCAAGGTAAAGGATAGAGTATAAAACTAAGGCAAAACGAATATTGTAATGTTCTGCTTGGGTATCTCCCATAGGAGCAAAGGAAGATACAAGCCATTCTAGTTTTCTTAGTCTTGGTGGGTAGAGTTGGCCAATACCTTTGCTGGTGAGAGGTAGCAGGTACCCGGTGGATTAATAGAGGTGCACACAAGTTTGCTCGTACATCATTGTAAAAAGAAATATACAAGGATTAGCTCCATGCAATTGTTCATTGGAAATACGAAAGCCTTGACCCATATAAACCAAGCAAATTAAAGTTGAATCCCCTGAAAAAAGCAGAGCATACTCTTGAAATGTCCAACTTTAGGTTTTACCATTTGGTGTACCATCTAATTGATCCCTACTATTATTCAGATGAGAAGCTATTCAACTGCTTCTATTGCTCGGTTAAACTAAATGAAGTCATGACACAGCACAGCTGCATTTGAGTTAACTATCCTTGTGCCTTGCAAGGACTTAAAGTCAGGCAGTACAATCTACTAGAGAGAGAGAGAGAATCCCTCCTCAATCCTCCATATATAATCAATTGTTTTACTTGTTTTAGACATCATTTTCTAGATGCTTTTATCTAGAAGAAACCATTAGGAAAACCAAAGAAACTAAGGTGGCATGAAGGAAAATTGCAGCTACATCATAAGAATACTAATAATATTCTTCCATTAACTTATAAAATATTCAGTAAATTGAAAGCCCATAGTTACGTACTCTACCGCAATTTATGTGACACTCTTTCATTTTTAGTCAGTCCTACAAAAATGACATATTTATAACAATTTAACTTCAAACTTCCACCTTTACCTTAAAGACATTGATTTATAGCCACACAAATATCTATGGCTTGTTTTTTACCACAAGTTTCAAAAGTCTTCCAAACATTCTTTAACGCCATGCCCAGTCAAACACCATGCCCAGTTAAACACCATGCCATAAACTGGGGACAGAGGGAGTATGTTTGACTAGGATGAAGAAGTTCTCGGATTGTAATTGTGTTATACATACACTTGGCATATATCATGGACAGAAAATTTGATTCTCTCTTTAGAAATCTAATGGTTCCTACATAGCGAAAATTTTATAAGACAACCCAACATAGCTCAACCACCTTTACATTCAAACTTAAAAGCAGTACTCAATCAATTTCTTACCTTTACTCAGGCATGCAGAAAACACACAGTTGCAATAGCTCTCGAGTCTGGATTGTGCTCAATAATTGCTTATATTTTTTTGACAAAATCAATAGTTGCTCGTGTTTAATGCCACTTAAAAAAATAATTGCTCTAAACTGCTTAAACATTCATAGGTAAGACATGTAGGTTACTATCTCCAAGTTTTACCTTGTTCACCCAAACAGATGCAACCTACTAAAGTTGGCCTTCTATGCATTATTGTGGGATTTATAGTATTACTTAATTGCCTACTATTGATCACTTCCGTACTGTGGTGGTTAAGACATAGATTGACTATTTTCTCCTTAGAAAGAAAGAAAAAAGTCACTGTAAAGACTGCAAGGTTATCCCAAGTGAGAATCTTACGACCCAACATAAGCTCATGACGATGGATTTGGAGATCATGAATAAGAGGAAGAAGAGGGTTGTGGCTGGTTGGCCAAGGATCAAATGGGGTAGCTTGACTATGGCCAATGCTCTGGAGGTGTGGGCGAAGTTGATGGATACGGAGGCTTGGGGAAGTAATGGAGATGCAAACAGTATGTGGGATAGGACTGCTAGTTGTATTAGAGAAGCAGCTAGAGAGGTGTTGGAGTCTCAAGAGGTAGGTTGAGTGAACATCGTGGGGATTGGTAATTAGATGGAGAAGTTCAAAGGAAATAGGAGGGAAAAAAAGGTGGTGTAAGCAAAGCTGGTGGATAGTAACAACGAGTAGGAAAAGCGACAGATAGGGAAAGGTATAAAATGGCGAGGAAAGAGGCTAAGATGGCAGTTACAGTGGCAAAAATGGCAGCTTTTGAATGCTTGTACAATGAATTAGAGGGTAAAGGCAGAGATAAGAAGTTGTACAAGCTAGCCAAGGCGAGAGAAAGGAGGGTCTGCGACTTGGATCAAGTGAAGTGCATCAAGGACGAACACGGCAAAGTACTTGTGGAGGAGACGCTTATTAGTATACGGAGATGGCTGTCCTACTTGCATAAACTCTTGAATGAATAGAGGGATATACGCATCGTGTTGGAGGGAGTTGGAGCACTCTCAGAGGCATCGTGATTTTGGGTATTGCAGGTGTATAAATGTGGAGTTAAAGGAATTACTAGTAAGATGCATAGTGGAAGAGTGACAGGGCCGGATGAGATCTCTGTGGAATTTTGGCAGAGTACAGGCTGGGCAGGTGTGGAGTGGCTGACTAGATTGCTTAATGTCCTTTTTAAGACGGCAAAAATGTTGGGAGGAGTGGAGGTGGAGTAAAATGATTTTGTTGTACAAGAACAAGGGTGACATTTAGAGTTGCAATGAGAATAGGGGTATAAACTTGCTAAGCCACACTATGAAAGTTTAGGAAAGGGTGATGGAGTTGAGGGTGAGGAGGGTTGTGTGTATTTTCGAGAACCAATTCAGATTTATGCCGGCGCTATCAACTACTGAAGTCATCCATCTAGTTAGGAGACTATTGGAGAAGTATAGGGAAAAAAGGACCTCCACATGGTGTTCATCGACCTAGAAAAAGCATATGGCAAAGTCTCAATGAAGGTTTAATGGAGAAGCTTGAAGGTTAAAGGTTTTATGAAAGATGAGTGTTTTATGAAAAGAAAAGATTTTATGAAGAGATATATATTTCTGCTCATGCATGAATCACATTCATTAGTCAGGTAAGGTTGGTTCGCTCAGTCAAAGTAAGGCACTGGATGCCGGTCCATCCCAACAAGGTTTTGGGGCATGAAAAAAAGTGGGAATGTTTGCATAAAAATTGTGTGTGAGACTAGATAAACCTATCAATTATGCCAACTTAGTTTAAATATGACAATAATCACAAGTACTTCTTTCAAAAAGTATAGATCAGATCTTCAAAGTTTAGGACAAATACTCAGTTTGTTGCTGCTCAAAGATAGAAATCAAGTGGAGAATTTTGAACCCGATAAATTACCTGTAATAACACAGGTATGATAACCTCCACATGCAGCCTTTTCAGAATATGGAAGTCCATCTACCATAGATGGTAGCGAACTATTTGATGCTTCGCTAAAGCCCTAAAATTTTTAATAGAAGTGGACATCATTCAATGTAAATTTTTTAAAAAAAAAAAGTTGCATGATGCTAGTATATAGATATTTACCAATTTCTTATTTGCTCTTTCGCCAAAAATATGTACAGATCCATTCTCTGTGGCTTGAAAAAAAGGATAAAAAATAAAATTTGAGGCCTTTCTTTAACATCAAAGTGCTTTCTGCAAATTTCAATGAGTTACCGCTGATGCAGACAGAATGCAACATTCCAGCAGAAGCATTCTTAACCTATTTACACATAACTAGAATTGTCAAAATGAACCAGCAGCCATGAAGCATGTATTAAAAACTCTTGACATCCTGAAGAGAGAAGTCTATAATTGAAACTTGAAGACGTCGCAGATAACAGTACCTTCAACCCCTCAAGTTCCTTAATAAGTCGTGGTGTGTATTCACTGTTTTCAAAGGCAAGAAAAGATCAATTGTTTAAAGGAAAGAAGAAATAACAGCTAATATTACCAACACTATCCAATTGGTTATTCACTAGAAACACTTGAATAGATGCAAAATACATAATAATGTAGAAGAGTTCGCTACCACTGATAGCATCCTCTGTTATCCATTAATATGAGGAGACCCATTTATTCATCAAAATAACTCAATTTGCAATTTATTTTGGACAAGAGTAAATCATCAAACAAGAGTAAGAATAATGTTGTTAATAATTCATAATACTGGAAAGAAAAAATCAATTCATGCAAAATGCGGAGGATCATCAACCATCTACTTAACCTGTCACTTTTTATGAGTCCAAAAATGCCTGATTGATGTCCATGACCAAGTCTTCCTGATTGTCCCCCACCCCAACTCAAAGTCTCACCTTTATCTGGCCAGAAAAAAGATAATATAGTGATGACATGAAGACAATGGTCATTCAGGCTGCAAGCAAAACATAGCTCTTTTTTCCTTAACAAGCATAATAGTGGAATAATATGTTTGATCATGGTTTTTTTATCATGCAAAGAAGCATTTAACAAATAACATCACATACCTGTTACAGCAATTGAGTGTTCGAAACCTAGGGAAATGATTTTGATTGTGACTCCATTCAAGCATTCAACTTTATTGGGTATAGACAATACCGTAGCAGCTTCTGCAGGTGATTGTACAAAATTGAGTGCTTTAAGAATTTATGGTAGTTAATGGTATCCTTAAACCCAAGTCAACAAAAAGATGCTATAGTGGACTATCTTTTTGCTTTATCTGATTTTGATACGCTATTTGAATTTTTTTGTTATATTTGGTCAGTTAATAACTCATTACTTCTAATTTAAGTCATTAATATATTCTCCTTTCTTTCGTCAGCTTATTCGCATTTTTGCATTTTTTTTGGTTTCGCACTTCTGTTAAAATCCAGTGAATATTATAGAATTAGTGTAAATAAATTAGCAACAAATGCCTAAGTTGCTCGGACTCGGGTGTCTGATACGCGTGTGGATCTGAAGGTCGGATCCTTCATGATCTAATTTTTAAGATTCAAGGATATGGATCCATGTATGGATAAGGGTGTGGGGATTTGCCTAAAAATAATTAAAATATCTAAAAATAGAGTTATAAAAAATAAATGATGAGATTATGCAGAGAACGTGAGGAGAATCCTGGAAGGAGATCAAAGGTAAAGGAGTGACATAGAAATTTTATATAAAAGGTATTCCATTTCCTTCAATTTCACCTTAGCTTTTGTATTGATTTAAGAAATCATTAAAACTGTCCAGACTTTCCCCATCGATTTTGGTCAAAGTACCCAAAATCGGTTGACCGAATCAGGCACGGATCCCACACCCACACTCATGTCGTGTCGACACGGGTGCGGCACCAAAAGTGAAGAGTCCGAGCAACTTAGACAAATGCTACCTGTGGAAATGTCTGCTTACTTGTGTGAGTCTGAAGGAACTCATTATATTCCTTTAGAGCAGTAGGATCATAACCAGGTGGCGGACCATGCAATATATAACATATGTTACGAGTGCGTCCAAGCTTTATGACAATAACTACACTTGGATCGAGGTTTTCCAAAACAACCTCCTCCTCGTTGATTCTCCATAGATTGATATGTTCGGTTCTTCTATGGTTTGAGATGCGAGAATAGAGGAGTCAATGGTGGGTGATGAAACTACTTTGTGACTGGGAGGCGCGGCAAGACGAAGTAGACGAGAGGATAATTCATCAATTGTAGGATCTGTAGCACTGGCTAAAATTTGATCTCGCACAAAATCATGGACAGTAGGAAGCCCAGCAAGTATAAGAACTAGAAACAATGTATGTTTGTGCTCTTGTTGTTTATCCACGTTCGCAATGACTGGCATTAACGTTTCAAATTCCTCCATGACTGCTTGTACCTGTCCTAAGTAAGTAGACATATCGGATTCTTGGTTCTTTAAGTGGTCATTCGAGATATCACATCATAGAATCGAGATATGTCATTAGCGTATAAAACACGGGCCTTTTCCCAAACTGAATAACATGCCTGGAATGGGCGAAACAAGGGCATCAACTTGGAATCAATAGATCGCCATAAGAGACTACATAATTGAGTATCAACCTTCTCCCATTGTGCTTTGGCCTTGGCATCTTGCTCACTAGCCTTTGCCTTTTCATCTACCACACAAGCATTGTTCGTTAAGTGGTCTTGGACACCTTGACCCTTGCACCACAACTCAACTGAGGAAGCCCAAGCTAAATAGTTTGAGGTGATCATAGGGCTTGAACTTCCTATATTTTTGGAGCCAAGAATATCAATCCCGAACGACATATTGTGAAATTAGAATTTTATTTTTTTTCACAAACATAAATAAATAAATTTGGGCCAGAATCTGACTGCCAGAAATAGATCTGACTGCCGAAAAAAAAAAGATCTGATCGCCAAAAAGCTGGTCGGAATCAGGAAAAATTATATGGTCAGCCTTGGGATGAAGAGGCGACCCCACTGGAAAAAGAAAACTGCTGACAGAAAATTTGATTCACTCGGACAGCAATTCAGGTCACCGGAAAACTGCACAGTGGCCACTGATTTCGCTGTATGATGTTCATTGATTATTTTCTCACAATTGCTCAGATACCATGTGAGAAATATAGGAAAAGAACATTATTGAATTGTGTATCTACATTATTACATTGCGATCCTATTGATAGACACTACAATAGACTCCTTGTCGAACTAGGATTCCAATTCCTATTCCTATTCCTATTCTAAAGTATGATTACATAAAATTATTCCTATTCTAACATATTAGATATGATTTTCTCCTTGTAATTATGTTAGAACATAAAGTTACCAGTTTCAAAAAAAAAAAATTATGTTAGAACATATACACAGTTGTTTAAGCCTCAATAGTTTGAGAAAATAATCAAGCAGAAATTTCTCTTCCTTCTAGTCTTTCTCACATGTTATCAGAGCATTTTGTGAGAAAATAATCATTGTAAAAGAGAAATTCTATTGCCGAGCAACTTTCCAGCAACTACACCACTGTTCCAAAGACTTCATTGCTTCCCCCTGGTACTGTATATACCAGCACGATCAATAGGATCAGAACCCTCGTGCGATCAAACCCCAGTTAATCTCGAACCCGTCTGACCTCCCACGAGCCTTCAAGAGGGAAGAATTATCCAGCAAGATCCAGCTACGTGCCGACACGTGAGTGACCTTTCCAGGCAGTTTTCTAGCGAGAAGTTTTCTTCACAGGAACTCGCCTTCTCAGTCCGAGACTCCCCATCAAAATTCCACAGCATTCTGATAATTTTTACCAGATTCCTGCGATTGTATCCCAGTTTTTTGACTCATACAGATTTTTACTCTATTTTTTGACACTGCTAGCCCTCTGGTAACATCTACTTCATATATTTTCCTTTCTTTCGTCCAGTTTATTCGCTTTTTTTTTTTTGCTTTGCACTTATGTTAGAATCCTGTGAATGTTCTAAAATTATTGTAAATACAGTAGATAGCCTGATTTGCTCCTTGTAACTATATAGTTAATTTTCTTTACTTTCATAGGACATATAAACATAGTTATTTAAACCCCAATAATTTGAGGAATAATTAAGCAACATTTTCTCTTCCTTCTCATCTTTCCCACATGTTATCAGAGCATTTTTTTGAGAAAATAATCATTGTAAAAGAGAAATTATATTGCCAAGCAACTACACCAATGTTCCAAGACTTCAGTGCTTCCCTGGGTACTGTATAAAACAGCACCACCAATAGGATCAGAACCTTTGTGCGATCAAACCCCAGTCAATCTCGCTCCATCTATCCTCCTACAAACCATCAAGAGGGAAGAATTATCCAACGAGATCCAGCCCCGCGCCAACGCGTGAGTGACCTTCTAGGCAGTTGTCCAGTGAGAAGTTTTCATCTCAGCAACTCACCTCTCAGCCCAAGCCTATCCATCAAAATACCACCACATTCTAATAACTTTTTTCCAGATTACGACAATTGTTTCGGGGTATTTTGACTCAGACAGATTTTTTCTCTATTTTTTTACACTGCTAGCACTCTGGTAACATCTACAACATAAATTTGATATTTGGTTGAACTTTCCTTTTAAAACCATCTTCATGTCTTTCATATCAGATATTTTGGTGCTAAAACTATAGTTTCAAGCAACTCGAATCACTCTATCACCACAAAACCTTTGATTAGTGGTGTAGGTCTTCTTCTGTTCAATTATGGTACAAGGGAAAAGGTGCTCAAGATCACTTAATCAAACAAGCTAAGGATATTAATGAAAAGGATAAGGGGAGAATGGGAAAAGATTGATGTCCATTCCAGACTTGCTTTCTAGTTGGGAAAAAGGCTTGTGGTTTATACACAAAAGACACCTCTCGTGTTTATAATGTGACTTTTCGGTTGACTAACCTTTAAAGGAAGGATTTTGATATGTCTACCTATCTTGGACATGTTCATGCAGTTTAGGAAGACTTCAATGAGTTGATGCCTGATGCTGCAAATATTAATAAACAATTGGAGCAACGTTAGAAAATATTTTTCCTTTTGATACTTGTTGTGCTTCCATCTAAACTTGACTCTGTGCATATGACCAAATTCTGGCTATCCCTATTGCTCCTATCACGTACAAACTGTTCTCTCAGTTATTACGACTAGCTGCACACATGTTGCACCACATATTTTGTCTAGTCATATAGTGGCATAGTAGATTCTTCTATTCTAGTGTCTCGGACTGAAAATCAGAATGATGGTCGTTCTAGAAAAACCCAGACAAGCTGTAGCTTTGTAAAAAGTTGGGCTATACTCGTGATGTGTGATATTCTTTACATGATCGACCTTCCAAAAATGATCATGTTGCTCAGAATAAATTCACCGTTACCCCAATCAATCAAATGTTCCTATTTATTCGAGGCAAAATACAATGGCTCTCTTCAATATCCGGCAAGCAACCAGATATCTCTACAAGTAACATGATAATTCCACAGGGTAGCAGAGAAAAAATTAAGCATATTATTGAGACTGCTCGCACCCTTATGTGCACATGTCCCGCTGCATTTCTGGGGATGCAGTACTCACATTTCTGGGTATGCCTTCCTCCACCATTCAGAATCAAATTCCACTCCATTGTGTTCCCTCAGTCACCTTTGTTCTCTTTTCTATCTCGTCTTAGGGAGTACGTGTTTTGTCCTATAACCTCACTTTAGTTAGAGACAGATTAGCTCTCGATCTCTTCAATGTCTATTTCTTTTTTATTTCTTTTTTTTATAGGGTAAAGGTTTATTGACTAAGTACCAAGAAGGTACCAAAACCAAAAGTTAGAAAGACTGTTGGGAATATACATACAGTCAATTACAACATCTTCCTCGCAACTCCAGAAACTCCATATATTGATCTATATTATCAAGAAACTACTTTTACACCAACAAAACAAATTATGTGAACACTTGATTTTAACTCTTAAAATATGGTCCTTTTGCCCATCAAAACAAGCGTTCTTTCTTTCTAGCCATAGTCCAGAATATGCACAAAGCTTTATGCGTTCTCTGGTGCTGCCAACTCTCCAACAATTCCTTCACACTCTGAGGCATGATCAAAGAAATCCCCCAAATACAGAAGAAAAATTCCGAACAATGTATAGCTATTCTGCAATGCATAAGAAGGTGATTCAGTGTCCAACTCTTCTTCACATAAGTAACATCTATTACTTGGTGCAAAAAAAAAATTCTAAAGCTTATCCTGAGTAAGGCAGACTCCCAATGCTGCAATCCAACCAAAACAAGCTACCTTTATAGGAGCGTTAGTTCTCCAAATCCCTTTCCATGGCCAACTAGTATCCCAGTATCATGTCTGCTTCATTAGAAGACTACAACACTTTTCTACTGAAAAGGTTCCATCTTTACTAGCTCTCCATACCAAGTAGATACTATCAATGAATCTTGAATTGAACTTGAAAAGGAGAATTCTTGATTGCAACAAGATTAAATAGGGAAAGCTCTTGAACTTGGGAATTAGAGAACATATTCACGATTAAGATAGAAATATACTTAATCTGCTTGCTTAAGTATTTTACAGAAATAATTAATGTGTTCTTGTTACTTCTAATTCCACAGAAAATAAGCATTAGGTTAAATTGAATAAGGTGAGCAGCAATTAATAGATTTATGTGAGTAAAATTAATAATCCAAATTGTAAGTAATTGATTGAAGAATTTAACAGGATTGATAGACAAAACCCATAACTCTAGATTATTTTCTCTCATTGTAATCCAACTCACCCTAAATGTGTTGATCAATTATTTTCCGTCTTTCGCTAATTTAGTAGCAATAGTTTGTCAAACAACATTTTGAATCTTTTCTTGACTCGATAATTTATAAAAGTTTTATTTAGTGATATAGTTAGCTCTCGTTTGGCCATAGATTTTGGAATCTTTTCTTCAAAAAATATTTGAAATCATATTTGTCCATGGAACTTGATCAGTTTTTAAATTTCGTGTTTTGGATAAGTTTTGGGAGAAATTTTTCTTCCACTCACAACTACAACTTTTTTCCAAATAAAATGCATGTCCAAACACAACTTCAAAAACTCTTCTTCTTTTTTCAAGTTTCACAAAATCTATGATCAAATGCTATCTTAATCACAAGTCCTCATGGAAACAATACTTGATTCATCTTTCTAAAAAAAAATACTTGATTCACTACTTTGCTACTTGTCTGCCACGTATACTTGCGTGCGTTTTAGGGTAACAACAGCAATGAAAATGGTTAAAGGAGAAGCCAAAAAGAACATAATGCGAGAGCATAGGTACTATTACTCTTTCCAAGGCCAAGCTGACCATTTGTGTTCTTCCCCCACATATAAAGTTCTCCATCCACTGCAATGAAATAGCAGACTATTATAGGAAGCCGACTTATTTAAATGTAAATAATTCAATCTATCTAAAAATTAGGGGAAAAAGAAATGAAGAGGCTATGGAAAAAGAATGAATGCTTATAAACTAAAACTGCTAAATGACCTAGAATGTAAATGAAAAATAAAACAAAGAAAAGGAAACAATTAAACAATTGAAAATAAAAAGGCAGACGAGTGCAGACCACTTGCCTCATTGGTCTATATGTTAACAATATACACAAATATCTCATCAGTCTTGGACTCTTGGTAAGGGTCCACATTTCTTCTGGTGGAGGGAGAATTGCCTTCATTCAAACGTTAAACTTTACAGGTTTGCTATTTTTCTTTTATGTTGTTTGAATAGAGTTGTTAGGTTTGATAGCAGCTACCTTATTTTTCTTATTTTTTTTATTATAACATCCTGCCAAATAGGAGCCATATACCATAGGTACACTAAGTAGGCGTTTGGCCATGCGATACCATATCATGATATGGTATCGTGAGATGGAATCAGCGTTTGGACATGCGATTTTACGTTGATTCCATCTCATGATTCCATATCATGAGATGTGATTCCATATTCTCCAAAAACCATGATATGGAATTATATGGGAATTCCATATCATGATTTGAGATATTTTAATACAAAAATTGATCCACGAGTTTATATTTTATTAAAACAACCCCACATTTATATCTACTAATCATTTATTTCATATGTAAATAAAATTTATAATCACATCATTACTTTTTAAAATTTATTATTACCGACATAAAATTTATTATTCTCACCAACATATAGTCACTTTAACTCACACCAACCGATTGTTAAAGTGATGAAATATTTATGGTCTATGAGCATGAAAATATAGTTGCAGATGATATTGACCAACAAATGGCTCAAAGTAACAATGTTGGTTCGTCTTCTCGGTCACATGATTGAGAAATGCAAGTTTAACTTGAGAAAATTGTCCGTACTATGTGGGAGTATTACATTAAAGACTAGTACACTACAATTTATGTTCAATTTTTTTAAAATTAAATTAAAGTTAGATGAAACAATTACTTAAGTGGAGAACAAATAGCTTTGTAATAATTTATTATGCGATTCTATAAATTTTTGTTTATTTGATAAGATTGAATAAACAATTGGGGCGATTTTAATAGTTTTACAACTTATGGGATTTTTATGATTATGAGAAAATATACAACACAAAAATTCCATATCGCATGTCCAAACAAAACTTCAATTTCATCTCATGATTCCATATCATGATACCATATTGCATGGCCAAACGGGCCCTAATGGTCCTCATGCAATTCCTTTTTCTAGTTTGTACCCAGATGTGGAGTCTGGCAGATGCACAGTCATACTTTGTAACAACTAAGTATAATGTTTTACATACTGGATGCCACAATCATACAAGTCAAGGTGCTGTGCTATTAGATTTAGGACTCTGTTTCTTCTACCACTCTTTGGTGGTGTTTGAACAGGTCTGGAAATATTTCTTCCAGAGTTTTCTTACAATTTCCTAAAAGGCACTTTTTCAAAAAACATTTGTACTTGGGTTAGATATATTTCCCAAAACAAAACCTAAAATTGTAACCAATTCGTCATAGCTAGCCATCTATCTTGAGACAGAGGCATAATTGCTGTAATAACCAATTCTTTATAAAACTTTAAATCAAAACCCCTTAACAACACCCCATGGATGTTCAGTCTGAAGAGCTATTAGGAATCTTTGGCCAATGATGCAGATCAGAACTAAGGTGAGGATAGGAAATGGGAAGAAAACCTCTTTTTGGCAAGACAAATAGGCAGGGCTTTTAACAATGAAACAACAACATCCTAAGCTATACACTCTAAGCCAGCAACAACAAGCCACAGTTGCCATGATGTGAACTGGACAAGGATGGAATCTATATCTAAGGAGATATCTGAATGATTGGGAGATCAGGAGAATAACAGAATTCTATAACTCAGCAGCAAGATTCAACAATCTGACTGAAGAAGTGGACAGACTAGAATGGAACAGAAACAGTAAGAGAATTTTTTCTGTCAAATCTGCATACAAGGAGCTAAATGTAGGAGTGGTGAAGGAAAGAAATTGGCCTTGGAAGTTGATATAGAAACCAAAAATTCCCTACAAAGTTAACCGGTTCATCTGGCTTTTGGCAAAGAAGCAGTGTTAACTCATGATAATCTGAACAAAGTCACCAACTAACCGCTGGGTGTTTTTTATGTGGGGAACAAGCTGAGACAATCAACCATCTCTTTTTACACTGCAAATGGACAGACCAGCTTTGGAGGATGTTCATCAGTCTGAAAGGGATTAGTTGGGTCATTGGGTGAAACTTGGAAGCATTGCAGACATTCTAAGATGCTAGAATATGGATGGTAATGCGGGCAAGAAGGAAGAAAGATGGAAGATCGTCCCGGCATGCATTTGGTGGTTAATTTGGATTGAGAGGAACAAAAGGTGCTTTGAGGGGACTCAGAACAACATTCAGAATCTTAAAATGAATTGTTTAGGCCTTTTTAACTTTGTAACCTATCAACAATACTTTCTAAACTATCAATAAGTTAAATAACTATTTCTTGATAAAAGCAGTTAAATATAGAAGCGGTGGATGGATGATGCAATTGAATACAAGTCTAAGACCCAGCAGCCTCTAACACCAAGGAAGCAAGTAACAAAATGAACAGAAGAAAACTAATTCAAGAGTTAAACAGAAAATGAAAACAGAAGCATCAAACAGCAACAGATAACTACAACCCAATAAATGAGAAAATGCAGATGATCAGAACTAGTAAAACCCAATTATATTTAATAGCATACAAGATAAAAGATCCATCAAAATCAACCATAAGAGACCTGTATAAAAGATCCATCAAAATCAATCATAATAAACCTGTAATAGCAGAAGAATGATGATAACCAGCTGAAACTTTTACAATTTCTTTGGGTAGTCCAGCGACTCCAAGTGGTTCCTGCAATATATCCCACGCCAACTTAGTTAAATCAGCAGTTCCATTGCGTGGCTGAGACTACTGATTAGTTAAGAAACATAAGTATGATAGGAAGTGACAGACTAGGGCTCATCGGAAATAATCTCGAATAAGTATGACAGGAGGTGTCTATCTGGCCACTTGGATAGTTAAGGTTTTCAACTGAACATTGGAAACTACTTCTATGTATTCAAATAAACTTTATGGCATTTCACAGTATAAAAAATGAAATTCTTGGTCTAGGGGAGAAGGCTATAAGCAAGAGTGGGTTGATTATTGCTGTTTGGATGCAACTGGTACAACTTCGGTCCCTTATTTTCTCTGGTGTATCCATAGAATTCCTTCTTGTATAGAAGATTGGGTGAAGTTTGTAGAGTATGTTTTTGTATTTACTCCTTGTATACGGCCAGTTTTATGTCCATAAACATGGGCATGATTATGAATGAAATTACTTTTACTTGATCAAAGAAAGGGGGAGAAACTTATTTCTTTGGGACAAAAGCAAATGTAAAGGAGAGATCATTAAAACTGGGGAATTTTCTACCACCGTGAATTTTTCCTCCCAATCCTCACTAGTGTTGATGACCTAATACAACATACAAAAGGAACCATTTAGGGTGGGAACTTGTAGCTATCAGAGAATTGTGTTCCGGGAAATGGGTGACTTTGTGGAGTTAACATATCAAGACGTGCTTCTGAACGATGTTGGAACAACAGTAATACAGCAGCAATGAATGAATTTTCAGGTTGTATTAGAGAACTTGAACTTGTTGATCCTCCTCAGGTGAAAATTTCACATGGTTTAAGAGCAGAAATCACTTGACTGCTTCAAGACGTGACAGATTCCTTTTTCAACTAAATGTGGTGATGAATTCTTAAGTGTATAAAGTAGTCTATCTTACGAAGAATCTAATTAGATCATGGTCCCTTGATGCTACAATTGGTGGCTTGAAGTTGATGGCTTTATTGATATTTTGAAGGAGTGGAGGAACTCTTGAGGTCTCAGGTTCAATACACAGCAGAGACAAAAAAAAAAAAACGCTACGTGATTCTTCCCATCTGTCCTAGCCTTGGTAGACAAAGTTACCTGGTACTTGTTGCTAGTGGGAGGTGGCAGGTATCCCGGGAAATTAGTCGAGGTGTGAAAAGCTGGCCCAGACACCACAGTCATAAAAGAAAAGACTTACTGGAAGATCTGGTTTTCTCTTGGCCAAAAAGACAAAATCCCTCAAAGTTAAATTGAAAGAATGGAGCGTTTAAAGTCATGGCAGCTTGGACAAAAGGAAAACAACGCTCCAAGAGAATTAGTAAACTTGGATAGCATACTTGAAACTGGATTAGTTGATGAAAGAGGAACTCTTATCCAAAGCCGACATCAATATGGAGTTAGAAAGCATTGTCAAATACGGAGAAATCAAACAGAGGCAGAGATCTAGAGGTTTATTTTATTTTTTATTTTTTTTGGGGGGGGGGGGGGGGGGGGCGGGTTTCCAAAACATGGCCGCCTCACACAGAAGATGCAACACTATAGAAAAGATGAAGTTAATGGGACTACACTTGACGGTCCGGATGACACCAACATTGAGATCAGAGATCTTGTCGTTCTATCAGAATCTTTCACAGAACCTGAGGAATGGAGGGCCTGACGATTTTATGGGACAATGTGACAGATCAATGATGTGGATATAACTTGCTATAAAGACCACTTGAATGGTCAAAAGTTGGCATGTGATGAGCAACCAATGTCCAGCAGACGAGGCTCCAGGGCCAGATGTAGAGACCAAGGTTTTTTTTATCAGAAATCTCAGTTCTTCCCTAAAGAAAATATCATGAAAAGTTTGGAGATGTTTTATAATCAGCACTTTTTTGAAAAGAGCTTTAACGCCACTAACATTGCCTTGATTCCAGAAAAGAATAAAGCTCTTGAATTGAGGGATTTCAGGCCCAAACATGGCTGGAAGCTTTTACAAGATTGTCTCCAAATTGTTGAGTGAAAGACTGAAAAATGTCATGCAAAAAGTTGAAAGAAAACTCCCAGATGGCTTTCATCAGAGGATACAAATCATGGATGTTGTTCTCATTGCTGATGAATGTCTTGATTCGAAAATAAAAAGCAACACCAGTGGGGTACTTTGCAAATTTAACATAGAAATGGCATTTAATCATATGAATCAGATAGAGTAACCTGGTACCTGTGGCTGGTGGGAGGTGGCAGGTATCCCGTGGAATTAGTTGAGGTGCGCAAAAGCTTGCCCGGACACCACAGTCATCAAAAAAAAAAATCATATGAATTGGAGATTCTTATTATGTTATGCATTCATGTTCTGTTAAGTCTAGTTCCAATCTTAGTGGGGGATTAATGATTGTAACGGCCCAGCCCGCTAGTGATATAGTCCGCTTTGGGTCTAGGCCTGCACGGCTTTAAAATGTGTCACTGGTGGAGAAGGTTTACTTACTTATATACCCAACATCTCTCCAGTGTTTTGTCGATGTGGGACTTCCTCTCCTCATATGGACTCAGCGTCCTCGCTGAGTTTTGCCCCAACATATGGGATTTGCCTAGACTCGACACTGAGGTTCACCCCACCTTACCGGATTTTCCTAAGCTCAGGCGACCTCTGGCCCACATCGACAAGACTGCCACATGAGTGGTTCTGATACCATTTGTGACGGTCCAACCTGCTAGTGATATTGTCCACTTTGGGCCTAGGCCCATATGGCTTTAAAACACATCATTAGTGGGTAAGGCATGCTTACATATAGCCAACATCTCTCCTGTGTTTTATCGAGGTGGGGCTTTTTATCTTAAGTTGGGGTGTCACAATGATCTCTGAGAGGCGAAGAAGTCGTACTTGTGAGAAATATTGGAGAAGAATATTATTGAATTGTTGCCTCTACATTATTACATAGAGACCCCATTTATAGACACTACAATACAATCATTTACCAAGTAGGATACTATTTACTATTTCTATTTCTTTTACTATTCCTATTCATATTTTTTTTTCTATTCATATTCTAACACTCCCCCTCAAGCTAGTGCATACAAGTCATGTACTTAGCTTTTTACAAATGTAATTAATATGAGGAGCGATGAGAGGCTTGGTGAGATATCTACAAGTTGATCACTCGACTTCACAAAACTGACAGTCAATCTCAATGTGATTGTCTTATCATTTTTTTTGACAAAGGTAACAGATTGTCTTATCATGAAATACTGGATTTGATGCATAATGTCAATCAATCTCAATCTGCTCAATCTTCTCATGAAATACTGAATTTGATGCATAATGTCGATAATACACAAAGTGATAAAATTACAGTGTTGAACTTCCCAAACCAAGCTTGAGAAGACTACTGTAGACCATAGAGTGACTTACGTAATCAACACATGAATCTACTAAACTCCCCCTGAGCAACAAAATTAGGTGTTTTCTCTATATAGACTTCTTCACAATGCAGTTGTTGTCAAAAAGTTCTCAAAATTTGGTATAAATATAAGGATTGTCTTGGAATCAATAGATGAGTCCATATTAAACAAGAAAGTAACTAAAAAACTGACCAGAACATGCACATGCACTGGAGTATTAGATTTGATGGCTGAAAGTGGTCACAATTTGAGAAATAAAGTTATACTGGTAGGGTCGGAATGATGACACGATCCTACTAAGAAAGAGCATTATAGGGTAGGATCGAAATAATGGCATGACCCAACTGGAAAACAGAAATTATATGAGTAGAGTCAAATTGACGACACAACCCTACTAAAAAGAGAAATAATATGGGTAGGGTCAGAATGATGGCACAACCCTACAAAAATCAAATTTCAGGAGTCACCGGAAAGACGAATGGAACTACGCAAATCAATTCTGAGGAGTCACCGAAAAAACACAGTGCTACGCAACTTAGATATGAGAAAGTAGTTCGGAAAAATCCACGATACTATGCAAATTAAATATGAAAAGTCATCCAGAGAGATGCACCATGCTACGCAAATCAGATATGACAAAAAGTAGTCACTGGAAAGATGGCACGGTGCTGCACAAACTAAATATGAAAAAGTAGTCACCGTAAGGATGGCAAAGTGCTACGCATATAAGATATGAGAAAATAGTCACCGGAATGATGGCACAGTGCTACACAAATCAGATATGAGGAAGTAGTCACCGGAATGATGGCACGGTGCTACACAAATTGTTTAGGAAAAAATAGTCACCGAAAAGATGGCACGGTGCTACACAAATTAAACATGAAAAAGTAGTCACCGGAAAGATGGCACGGTTCTACACAAATTAGATATAAGAAAGTAGTCACCGAAAAGATAGCACGGTGCTTACACAAATCAAATATGAGAAAATTGTCACCGGAAAGATACATGGTGACCCAACTTTTGCTAACATAATCATTGGCCAAATGGGCGGCATATATGGGTAATAGCCACCCGCCGATAGCAGAAGCTCTTTGATTGTTTACCAGGACTGTGGAGGCTCTGATACCATGAGAGAAATATAGGAGAAAAATATTTTTGAATTGTTGTCTCTACATTATTACATAGAGACCCTATTTATAGACACTACAATACAATATTTTACCAAGTAGAATACTATTTACTATTCCTATTTCTATTACTATTCCTATTCATATTCCTATTCTAAATAGGATGGTATAAACCTATTCATATTCCTATTCTAAATAGGATTATATAAACCTATTCATATTCTAACAGTACTCACGTTCTCTTTTGTGGAAACCTACATTGACAAGTGTTGTTAACCGTCATACCACGAACTAGGATCTCCCTCACATTCAGAAGGTTTATTGGTGAGCTCTGTTTTTGCAATCAGTCAGGATAGTAATTTTTATTCAGTTTATACAATCAAATTAACCACTTCATAGACGGTTTTACAGTATTTAGGTTATGGATTTCTATCATTTGCATTACAAATGTTATCACTTTGGATTACCTTACTTCTGCATAAAGTTCTACGGTTATGATAATAGAAAGAATATAAAATTTGGGTTATTAGAAAGTTGACCCTCGTACTCCTAATTGTCTCACGTAATGGGGAGGGAGTAGTATTTTTCATCAGTTTTGGAGCTTAAATTAAATAAGAAGTTATTAGTTCTATTTATATTGCATTTTAAGTATAAAGCCAAGAAGGTTCACTTACCAAGTTAATGCAGGGGGTGCCGGTCATGGCTTGCTAAGCAAACAAATCGTGACACATTTGACATAAGCCTCTACTTCTTCCCAAACCCTATTCTCCATATACATCTTCAGGAAAGGACCACTTAGAAAGTTTATAGATATTATTAGGCCTGATTCACATAATATTCCAGACATCGCTACCTTGAAAATCAATTGACCAACTCATAATCAAAGGCGCATCAAGAATTTGTCTTTCTCCTACAAAGACATTTTAGGGAGTGTAAGTATATAAAGTATGTATCTACCAAACTTATATGTTTACGATCCTTCATAAAACAGGTCCCTCCTATGAGATTATTGTAGACCTAAGATATATCGAAGTGTATATAACAATTTAAACTTTTAGACGAGTTGATCACACACCTCAACATAGTATCAAATCCAAGTTGAGATCCATCATTAAAGTTCCTTGTCACCCATTAACAAAGAACTTTGGCCCAAGAAAACAAAGCCATACATGCATGTAAGGAAGCATGTTGCTAACCTAACATCAATAAATAAATGTGTCTCCTTTAACAGTTTAAATTTTTAGTTAGACGAAGTATGAACACTTCATTAAAGATGAAAGTAAAAAAAAAAATAGGCATTTAGACACCTAATTTATTTTGGGAGAGAAAGTGGAAAGCTTGAAGAACATCCAATATCATCTCCTCAAAAATATTTCATCTCAAGACTCAACGTCTCCCTTCTATACAAACTATTGAATTCAACCTCTCAAGAGAGGATCTCCAACTCCTCTCTTCTCCCGACATAATTCTTTGGAGAACCAATCCCTCTCTAATCTTCACAAGGTCGTCTACTTCCCTCCCAAAAACAATAATTATGTCAATGAAGTGTTCCTATGGAAGTTTTTCCTGTTGTTTCTCTTCTTCAACCACAAAATCCTAGCCTTTTCTATTCAACCAACCTCTTTGGCCGTAGTTGTAATATCTGTCTGGCCCTTTAACTTCTCTGTTTTGATCATTTCTCCCTCCTTTGAAATAAATCTTTTCATCTCCTCCATCAAGATCTTCAGTTCAACTCCAGATCTAACCGAACAATTTCAGTCGTATAATTGTCACCGGCTTCATATAAGTTTTCCGGAACTTTCACTTTCAAACATGTTTGCTTACCTAGAACACCGTTAAGTCTGTTCATTTGTCATCCATTGGTACTATACAATTACTGCATGATTTCGAAAACGTTTTCAGTTAATTAATGAAGTTATATCCTATCCAAATACTACGTACTTATTGTATGATAAAAAAAATATGTTCATTTGATAGATGAAGTTCTGTTTCCAAGCTCCAACCTATCCAAATTCTGAAACTGTATCAAGAAAGGTCAAAATAGCATACAGTTATATAAGCTCTGTCATCTGACACCCCTAGCTGTCCATAATCATTGAGTCCACTGGCATAAACACGACCATGATCTGCAAAATTAGAGGGTCATTAATTTGTAAGTAAGTCTCTACTAATGCATTAGCAGTCAAACATTATTTTAGCGATAGGTTTGAACTGAACAATCCTATTGGGTCAAATACCCAGAAACAAACTCCTACATTCCTATCACTAGTTATTTCTGAACAAGTTATATCATGAAATAAAATAGACGGATGCTGGTGGACGAGTTTGAATGCAATCTTCTATTAAATAAGCAAAGCTCAAAATCCACTAAAAAGGAAAGCACATAATGACAGAAAAAGTGTTATCCAAAAAAGGAAAATGGAACTGCTATTGATGCTAACATGCATATCAAAAACCAGGCAAAACAAAAGTCAGTATTGACTATTGAATTAGGTGGTTTCGACTATATGGATCTTCTATATCCATTTTGCTCAAGTATCACACCAAATATTCTAACCACCTTGTTCTCTCCCCCTAAACAATAAAATAGCTAGAGAAACATTCATAATGCGAACTGAATTTAAGATGGATAAAAAAAAATTTTAAAAAAATAAGATGGATGAAGAATATTTGGTCCCTGCTTGCGAAGGTGGTATTTCGAGCTCTGGTGGTGGTACTTGATTGTAGGAGTTAGTTAAAACGAGGAAAGATAGAGGTTGTTCAGGAGTTAGAGTTACATGTGTAATGTGAACCTCCTTACACATGTAACAGTAACACTAACTCATGCAACACTAACTCACGCAGACAACCTTCCGCTTTCTCAGATTTTTCGTTGTCAAAATCACCTCTGTACTGGCTAGACAAGTGAAAAAACACGCATTTCTCGGTACATTTGGAACCCATATTGCATTACATGGGAAAGAAAATGCTTCCCTAACCAAAAGTTACTCATAAAAGGACTTGACCAAGAACACTCTATTATTTCTCGGTCCCCACCACCAAACATCAGATTGACTTGCCTATGAAGTATGGCTAATAATCTTTGACACTCATTCATTTCCGATCTTGAAAATTCCTTCTAAATCTCAAAAAGGCTCTCCACCTTGTGTCCCCCTAATTAGTTGAATTATTGGGTTTCTTTGGCAAGATAATTTCGTACAAACTTTGAAATTCATCTTTCAATACTATGTTCCCACACCATTTATATCCCCAAAAATAAACTCTCCTCCCGTGTCTGACCTAGAATGAGATATTTTGCACAAAACAATCGCATCCCTTCATGATATTCCTCCACAAACTACAACTGAATGGCAAAATGATATCTCAAGTCTTCCACCTCCATTCTGTGATCCCAATTTATTGACTATCACCCCCCTCCACAAGACCTGGACTACCACCCCAAACCTCGACAACCATTTTCCTAGTAAAGCTTTATTAGAACTTTTAAATTTTTAATTCCAAGTCTTTCCCTTTTTTTAGGAAATGTAATAGTCTCCGAAGCACCAAATGAAATTTCCTTGCCCCATCCGTTGGAGCATGAAATACAGACATGCAGTAACTAGTAAGTAGGATGCTCGATAAAGTTCTCTTAATAAGCACTTCTGTCCCGCCCTTTGGACTAATAATTTTTCTTTCTCGACCCTCTGAAGAAACGGATTCCACACTATATGATCCTTGTTTGAAGCACCTAAAGGTACAAGAAATGTAGTCAGAAGAGCCAAACCCAGCAATTCAAGACTCAAGCCAACAATGTAATGTCATCCACCTCTCCAACAGGAATAATCTCACACTTCCTCAAATTAATTCTAAGACCTGCCACCATCTGAAACTAAGTGAGAACTTGGCCTAATGAATCCAACTGACTCTCAATTGCACCACAAAAAACTAAGGTATTATCTGCCTCCCTCCGTATTAAGATCGTTTCTATCCATTTTGATGGGGTTGCTTATGGCCAAGCTTATTTTGAGAAGTAGACAGTATCTACCTTTTCCTAGTTGGGAATATGTGTATGCGATTATAGACAGGTTTGAAGCTGAGTGTGATAACCCTGTGGCTGAAGTTAAATTACCCACTCAAACTGGAGGAATGAAGGTTTTATATAACCCCAGCATAAACCTCTAAACACAAAACACGCATAGAAGCTCTTTCTTCCAAAATCTGCAAATAACTACTCTAAACCTGAACCTAGTAACCCGTTTTGGAGAAATAATGGGAAGAAACTTACTCCTTGGTTATTCTTGAGTTCAAGGGGGTATCATCTCTACTCACCCTGAAAAAATAAATTCATCCCTCGTGCTCTAAAGTGAATCTTCCTTGGTTAGTCTCGAGTTCAAAAGGGGTATCGTGTTTACTCACCCTAATCTTCGGCGGTATCTTATGTCAGCCAATTTGACATTTTTTAAGTCTCGGTCTTACTTCACATCCTGATATCTCTGAGGTCTTACCTATAATGACTTTCAAGGAATCTAGTGTTGCTTGTACATCTCTAGACACAGTTTCACCCCTCCCGACTTATCATCGCTGTCCACGGCCAGCATCATGCCCAGATGATTCACATCTGGCACCAGACCATGCATCTACTACACTTATTTCCTCCTAGTACACTGGTTGCACTTGGAAAAGGTATACAGTCCACTCCACCACTCATACTACATTTTACTTCCAAGCATTAGTTCCATAAGTAAACCCATTTGTAATGCATTACTCATCTTGAAAAAAAAATGCAAAAGTATTAGCCTTAGTTTAAAGTTTAAGTTTTTTACTTTCTGGTTTATTTTACTAAAGATAAGTGAGCCAAGCCCACAAACTATATGTTGTATGAATCATCCACACTAGTGAAACAAAAAATAATCCTAAGTATTTCAATATTGTAGCAAGATAGTGTGTAAAGAATATTGTTAGAACCTGTGAGAAAGAGAGAATGAGCTCCGCCACATGCAATTTCACGGAGGTTTTGATTATCAAAAGCAGAAGAAGGCAGAACATTAGGTCTCCATTGCGACTCAAGACTTCCATGCCCTAGCCTGCCATGATCACCGTTCCCCCAAAGGGCTGCGAATCGCTGCTTCCCATTCAATTCAACACTGGAAACTGAAATCCACCTTACAAACCACAATGATCTCTTTGTAACTGCTCTTCCTACTATCATCTTTGTCGATTGAAGGAAGATGTTCAACTTCAATCAATAACTAGTTTATGGCTTAAACTGTTCCAACGTCTACTCCAATGTTCAAACCTTTTACCAACTTCCCTTGTTTCTTTCTTTCTTTTTCTTCTGAGTTATTTTTTCTTTCTATTAAATTAAAATAAAATAAGTGATTCGGAAAAGAAAAAAATATATATTTTGAATAGTGTTTTCTAATAGGCAAATTGCATTTGACTAATTTTTTCAAAAAATATTTGTGAGGTTTAGTTACGAAAAAATAATAATTATCAATGCATTTTTATATTAAAATTAGTTAAGTGTATGTGCTTTTTATGTATATTTTGCGTTAATTAATGATAAATGTATTAAAAAAAATGTTATATTATTAAGTACAAAGCATTAAAAAAGACCTAAAATAAATTTTGACTAATTTTTTCAATAAATATTTGTGAGAGTTAAATTATGAAAAAGAATAGGCACTTTTATTATTAAAATTAGTTAATTGTATGAGTTTTGTATGTGTCAATTAAATAAATATATAAAAAAAATTATTCTAAAAACAAAGGTTTAAATAAATTATTGTTAGAAGCTATAATAATAAAATTCATTTTTTAAAATTTGCAAAATCTTAATAATAAAGATAAAATTATTATTAGTAATAAAGTATTGGTGAAGATGCTGGACTCTTCCTTTACTGCTATAGCACTCCTACTCTACTAAAGAGAGACTTTCTCTTGTTCTCACTCCTATATATTCATATCCCCATTTCCCTTTCACTTCCTGTGTGTGTATCTACAATTCATTCACATGGTTCACTTCTAACAGCTGCTCCCCTTTTTTCTCAGATCTGTTCTTAGAGCTGCTAAAAGGTACATGGGTATTACTTCTTTTTCACTTTTTTTGTGTACGTACGTTTTCAAATTTTCCTGATCTTGGTCTATACAGACAGATCTGATTCTTTTTTCTGTTACTTGTGCAATTATTTGAGATGGGTCAGCGCACTTCTGTTTGTATTCTCGAATTGGGTTTATACATTTTCCGTAGATTTGCTCAGGGATTGAATTTGAATCACAAGATTGTTGCTTTGCATCGATTGTTATTATTAATTAGTATAATTCTGTAGCAACTCTTTTGATTAGAGGTATATAGATGGTAAACTTGTCAGTTTCATCTCAGATCTCTCAACTTCCCTCTGCATTTAAGAATTGATATTTAAGATCTATTGGTGTTATCAGTACTCTACTACTCTGATTGAAAGCAAGAGATAATTAATAACAATTTAGAGTTCAATGTTTATGTCTTTACATAGTAATTCTATTACTTCAATTGTTTGGTTTTGACTTTGGCACGGAGTTTTAGAAAATAAAGGATACTTTCGATCCTTGTGGTCTTAAATATGCCATTAAAATTAAAAAGATGCCAAAAAAAGGAAAAAGACATTCTTTTTGAAATAGATCAAAAAGGAGGGTAACACAAACAAATTGAAACAGATGGGTCATAGATTTGAATTTGAGTATCAATATTCAACCTCCACTACTTAAACTTTAAGTGGACACAAAATTCAATATGACAATTGGTTTACTAACATGATAAGTTGCCAGAAATGCATGAGAGTGATTCAAAGATTTTACTCTTATTATTCTTATTTGTACCTCAGGTGGATAGAGGAAAATTGTGAAGGACTGATAGAATTTACGAGAAAAAATGGCATTAGGAAAGTACTCTAGAGTAGATGGCAGGAAGTCATCAAATTATTGCTCCACCGTAACTATAGTGGTATTTGTAGCTCTATGTTTAGTTGGGGTATGGATGATGACGTCATCATCTGTTGTTCCAGACCAAAATCTAGATTTGTCCTCACAGGGGAAAAAGAATGACCTGTCAACACAGGTAACCGAAGGTAAAGAGAGTTACAATGGTGGCAATGAGAGTAACAACAAAGCTGGTGATGATGGTAATCCAACTGATGAGGGAAAATCGAAACAATTTGAGGATACCCTGGGTGATTTACCTGAGGATGCAACAAAAGGGGATGCCTTAGTTAGTCAAGAAGAAAATCATTCTAATCCACAACAGACAGAATCAACTTCAGAAGTGAAACAGGAAGAGAAATCCACAGAACAGAAAGAGGATGCTGGAGAATCTGAGTCAGAAACTCAATCCGAGAAAGCAACAGATGATTCAGATGACAAAAAGGAAGATGGGCCAAACAAAGTAGATGATAAGGATTCTGAGGCTGGGGAGAAAAATGAAAATAAATCTGTTGGAGAAGAGATCAAAGAAGGTTCTGATGAGAAAAAATCAGTAGAAAACTCAGTTGAACTGAATGATAAAAAGGATCAGGAGGTAGGCCAAGGTTCTGATGAGAAGGCTGATGGTGAGAAGAAGGACCAGTCTTCAAGTGCCGTATTTAGTTCGGGGACTCAGTCAGACCTTTTGAATGAAACCACAACTCAAAATGGGGCATTTTTAACTCAGGCGTCAGAATCAAAGAATGAAAAGGAAATGCAGAAGTCTTCGGGGTCAGATAAAGAAAATAGTTACATTTGGAAACTCTGCAATTCCACTGCTGGGCCAGACTATATCCCTTGCCTTGATAATTTGGAAGCAATTAGGAACCTCAGAAGTACAAAACATTATGAACACCGAGAGAGACACTGCCCAGATAATCCTCCCACTTGTCTTGTTCCACTTCCTGAAGGATATCAACGTTCAGTTGAGTGGCCTACGAGTAGGGAAAAGGTGATATGTTATTTCTGGAATGCTGTTTGAAGTGATTATATCATATTTCCTTTTTCTTGAAGCTAACAGTATTACCTTCTGCAGATATGGTACCACAATGTTCCCCATACAAAGCTTGCAGAAATTAAAGGACATCAAAATTGGGTAAAAGTTAGTGGTGAATACCTTACCTTCCCTGGTGGGGGAACCCAGTTCAAACATGGCGCTCTGCACTATATTGATTTCATACAGCAGGTTAGCACTTGTATTTATCTTTGCTCTTTATTTGCGTGTGTGTTTGTTCCTCTTCAAATCATTAGAGGAACATACATTATACTATATCAGTTCTTGCAGTTGTTTCTGGTTTGTGCAACCTTGTTCTCTTTAGTAGATTGTTCAATGTCTATTCTTTATATACTGTCTTGCCTCTTTCTACTTCCCTTAACTATAACGTGGTGTCTTAGATTCCGAAGCGACAGGTTCTTGTATATAATAGAACTGACTACTTGATTCCAGAAAAAAGAGAGAGAGAGAGAGAAGGAACTGATGTATTAAGAATTGTTACCAGAACCCGGGAATAATAATTCTGCACACAGATCCCATAAACAATTTTGGTGTATCAACAAATCTATTAAGGTCTTTAATATTCTTGCATGGCATTTTGATACTTGAGCTGTTAGAATGTTGAGTTTTAGTTAGGAGTGAGAGTGAGAATGTTAGAATGGTAATTTCCTAATTAGGTATTGTCCCACATTGTCAAATATCAAAAATATTATGATAAGGTCTTTAGTAGGATATTTTCCCACATTGTAAAAAATATCATGTGTATTTGGTTCTTGCAAAGAATTGTCTTGTATCCATCAAATGATCAAGCTATGCTATTTTCACACCACTTTTACATTCTTTTTGCAGTCTTTTCCAGAAATTGCCTGGGGAAAGCAAACTCGGGTTATATTAGATGTTGGATGTGGGGTTGCAAGCTTTGGGGGTTATCTTTTCGAAAGAGATGTTTTGGCCATGTCTTTAGCTCCTAAAGATGAACATGAAGCTCAGGTTCAGTTTGCTCTTGAGAGGGGTATTCCTGCTATATCTGCTGTTATGGGTACAAAGAGGCTTCCCTTTCCTAGTCGAGTCTTTGACGTTGTTCATTGTGCACGTTGTAGAGTGCCCTGGCATATTGAAGGTATTTGATTTTGCATTCTACTCATTCCTGATGCCTTTTCATTGCTCAAAGTAGTGAAGGGGTTAAGTGTGAAGTTCTTCTATTCAGTAGGCAACCTTTGAGAAGAACATAGGTAGTTCTCGGTGTGTGGACTTCCAGCGCCAAAAATATTTCTATATCCGCAATCAGTTCATCTCTATTATTTCGTCTTACAACTGATGAAATTGTGTAACTTGATTTAAATTAAACTTATTTGATCCAACAAACTGTAGGGGGGAAACTTCTCCTGGAGCTCAATCGTGTACTTCGACCTGGTGGACTTTTTGTGTGGTCTGCTACTCCTGTCTACCAAAAGCTTCCCGAAGATGTTGAGATCTGGGAAGGTACTTTGCTTTAACTTATTCAGTTGACTCTTCCATAACTTGGTTAACTGGTCTTGCTGAATGACTGTCTGTTTTTGGCATTTTGACAGCCATGCAGAAGTTGACAAATGCAATGTGCTGGGAACTTGTTTCAAAAACCAAAGATAGAGTCAATGGAGTAGGGGTTGCTGTATATCGCAAGCCTACTTCCAATGAGTGCTATGAACAAAGATCAAAAGACGCTCCCCCGATTTGTCAAGGATCTGATGATCCAAATGCAGCCTGGTATTATTCTTAGAGTGATGGGAACTTCATTTTTAGTATTAATATCAATTATTTGGTTGGATACTGGATTGCAAGGCTGTCTAGAACAAATATTATTTATCGGGTACAAATGCAGGAAACTATTTTCCATCTTATCTGTGGGAATTGTTTTTGTATTGAGAATTGTAGTGAGATTTTTGACTTAATTAGTTCTCTACAGAACCTGTAAGAACTCCTTTTGATGTATAGCATACTCTTGATGCTGATAGTGATACTTATATAAAGTTTTACCTTATCAAAATAGTTGCAGTGAGATTGCATCTATGCTTAACATGATCTAATGAATGGATGCTTTCTTCAGGAATGTGCCTTTACAAGCTTGCATGCATAAAGCTCCTGTTGCCACATCGGAACGTGGATCTCAATGGCCAGAACCATGGCCAGCCAGGTTATCGAAATCACCTTACTGGTTATTGAGTTCCCAGGTTGGAGTATATGGGAAACCAGCTCCGGAAGATTTTACTGCAGATTATGAACACTGGAAACATGTGGTGACAAATTCA